GAAGGTAAACGTGAAAAAAAGATTATCATTTTGATTTGACATTTTCACTACAGTCTTTTACAACAATTAATTAACGGAATTAAAACATATTATCGTTATATCGACCGCCTGTGTCACTCATGAATGTAAATATTTCACGAAACCTGTCGTAACTTTGTTTATACCTCATTATGTATGCAATAAGCATCATGTGATAAAATATATTTGCAATTCCATCATTTAGACCGTCTATAATAGGTTCTACAAGGAAAAAATTTTGTTTTAATGGTGGTCCATATAAACACACTAAATATGCTCACGCAGCACTGTGTCCGTATTGCTCGGCTTGGCGTTTTGTGTATTCAAATATTTTGTAATAGTGTTTGTATATATATTTGTTTATCAATTAATTAATTTAATAAAATTAGCTCATTCCAAAGTTCACTCCACGCTGTACATACTTATTGCTCGTGTATTTACGCCACAAATTGTGCAATATCTCGTGGTATGCCAAACTTCAGAGGAGGGGGAGGGTTGTTGCTTTGAGGACCCGCGCGCTTTCCATCGCTGCGCTGGGTCACTTAGAGGAAAGCTCAATCAAATAGCACTGAACGACCAGATTTTCATCATTTTGTCTCAAAGAATCGGCAAACTATTAATTTAGAATTAGTTTTCACGATGTTCACAGTGCTCAACAATATCGATCTAGATGTTATCCCCAATCATATTGCCATTTGCTGGCTAATCCCTTTGCACACGTACAAAACGCTTAGTTTCTGTAATTTCGAAATCGACAAAGATATAAGTACACTGCATTCCATGCATTATTCATTTAGTGCACGTGGTCTCAGGGGAATGTGATAGCTACTTCACTAAATTGATCATTTTATTGAAACGAAAAGCGCAACTAGATCTGAGCGGAGCGGAAGGAAGTACAAATTTCCATAATGAAGTTTCTCTGGGGGGTAGTTTAGTCTCGGCAAAAAAAGTACATCTGAGGGTGAAGTCTGTCGACATTATGATATGATGTAGTGAAATATAGATTAGTTACTGCATTTCTCTTTGGCCACCTAAACTTGTCCATTGTGAGATCTCGTCTGCTGCGTGAAGGTTTGCCGCAAAAATCGAACGATTTGATTTGTGAATGTGAATTTCTTTTTGTATAGCTCGGAATGCCGAATTTTAGGAGGGAAATATTGCGTTGAGATACCCTTACGCCATCAAAAAATGACCATCATATTTGGTGTGAAAATACCCAAAAGGTATTTCGCGTTTATCGAATCCCGCGCGATGCTTTGACATCACTACTGCGCTATGATCTTTGTTTGTCCTGATTACAGTCGATTTCACGCATAACACGGGGTAAAAGGGAAATGGTGTATTCCAATATGCAATCCCTCTGACTAGTTAAAGGGACTGGCTTTTAGTAGCTCGAATCGGAAAATAATTTTTAAAAAAATAATAAAAAATAGACACACTATATATATATATATATATATATAAGCAGCTAATACAAATTTGCACATACATTCTAACTACGTTTATCTGTGTTGTAGAAGCCATTGACTGTCATGAATTTCCACACCCCCGAACTGCACCAATGCACACTTCCCTAGGCAATTTAGTGAATGTATTCATTGTATTATTCCGAGGTGCTTTGTTTCTTGTAAATAGTTTGAAAGGTCTTAAAGCCAAGAGCTTTAACTTGATATTTTGGTGTATGTGTATTTCATTTCCAGCACTATTATCCTGTCTACCCTATTCTAGCAGTGAAAGAAACCCCCTGTCCAGTTTGAGTTATGTGGGTGCATCTCTCAATAGCAATAAGCAGGCCTTACACTGTGACACTATATTTCGATCAGGTAAACTCAAACATATTTTTGGAATAATTATTCCTCTTGACAAACTAAACTCGTACGT